GATCCGTGCAGCTACCGTTGGATCATCTGGTTGAAATGAAAGATAGAGCTGTGTGTCATCAGCATAGCAATGGTAGGAGAAGCCATGTGCCTGTATGATGGGACCCAGTGATATTATGTATATGGAGAAGAGGAGGGGTCCAAGAACTGATCCCTGAGGTTTTTTGAGCAATGGGGTTATCCGAGCCTGCTTGAATGCAGTAGGGAAGGTGCCTGTGAGGAGCGATGTATTGATGATGTGTGTGAGTGTTGGTAAAAGTGTAGGAGAGATTGCTTGGAGGAGGTGTGAGGGGATTGGGTCTAGAGGGCATGTTGTAGGATGGCTGGAGAGCAGAAGTTTTGATACTTCTGTCTCAGTGAGGGGACAGAAGGAGAAGATGGGAGTTTTTGCAGTGGGTGTGGTTGGTTTGAAGTCCTGTGTGTGTGGTGCTGAGAATTGACTACTGATTGTTCTGGTTTTGTCTGTGAAGAATGTGGCAAAATCATCAGCTGTTATAGAAGTGGTAGGAGGTGGTGGAGGGGGACAGAGGAGAGAATGGAAAGTTTTGAAGAGATTACGTGTGTCTGGAGCGCTGTTGATATTAATTAATAGTTACTATTATACATACGAATAACAGCCTATATATGTTATGTAGCCTAATTTGCTCGCATCAGGGAGTCACTCTCAAAATGTGGGGTATTAGAATCGCTTTTGAATGTGCGTGTGCGTTTTACTTTCGATTTCGATTTAAATCGAACTTTTTTTTGACGGGTTATAGTAGACCTTTGAGTTTCAGAGTGTATTTGAACAGAGGAAATATTTAAGTTTTCTCTCAGAGCAGCTCTGCTGATGTTCATGTTTATGTAGACGCTGAAACAGTGTCATGTACTTCAGTGTGTAGACAAACAGCAAACATCGCCACTCAGAGACATGCAGAAACGAGCAATTATTTATATAGCAATCTCTTCGCGATTTAATATTCACAGACGCATATTATATCTATTTTTGATTTATCCATCCATCAGATTGCGCATTTTACGCGACATCCTCGTTATACTGTAAATTCCATGTTCATGACTACACCGGGATTCCCTCTGCATCACGGAAATCATATGTGCCTTTATTTATATATATTTTTTTAAATGCGACACACCTTTATCTGCACGGAGGGATGGTGAATATAGCGAAGATGTTGGATGTACTGCCTGCTGTTGCAGCTACTTTGCGTCCACATTCTTTGCAAATTGGATCCGTCCTCAAGTACAACCCCGCGTTCGTTTTTTTTAAATATCTAAACTGAAGATTTTTAACTTTTTTTTGGTGGGGATGGAGATTAGATATAATCTCTGTCCCTGTCATGTTCTCCTCTGCACGTGCGTGTAAGCAGCCAAGTAATGCAGAGTGAAGCTGCCGAGCAGAAATAAATTGCATGTGCACTGGTGAGATTTTTTTTTCCATTCATTTAAAAAAAAAAACATAGATGTGCAAATGTTCATGGTATGATAACCGTGCACGTTCAAACCGTGATAAACCGTCAATCGTTACAAACCAAAGATTTTTGTAAGAAAAATATCCATATTTATAAGGTAATAATCACTTTTCGCACTTCTTATTATGGATGGATGTGCTTTATTGGACTTATTTTGGACTGTTGACAAGAAACATCTGCCCATTGCCATAATAGAGTTTGGAAGTACGGTAAGTACCAGGATAATTTTTAATATAACTCCGATTGGATTCGTCTGAAATTCTTTGCCAATAATAATAATAATAATAATAATAACAATGGATGCAACCACTATAGTACTTACGGTAGTTCTGTTTGGTAGGGTGAGTACGGTAGTTTCCAGCCTCACGTCCTTTATGGATGGCATGGCATTAGCTTTGGAGTGATGGCGGCGTGTCTGCTGAATAGAAAATGCCAGGTGGCTGTGATTTCTTAATCTAAGGTAAATACCCGTTTTATTGGTTATGTTGGCTGTAACTCATTTTAAATGCGTGACATTTTGTAATCACGAGCGATAAAATATTTTGTGCAGACGGCAATGATGGTTTGTGCCAGAGTTGAAAAACTGTTGTCGTAGCTGGTGCTATGTGATTGAAGTGTATGCGTGTTTTATATTGTGCTGTATTTATTGAAATGTGTATTTTTGTATTTATAGGTGTTATTAGATGTGTTATAATAATGAGCACAATAATGAGGGTGTTTTGAAATAAGACAAGCAGTTTATAGTGCTTAAATATACACTTGAAGACTGCTACGTTATATTTAGCCTATCACCTACTATAGATAAATGTGAATTAAGTTTGACATTGGAAACATTAAAATATCACTTTGTCATGCTCTTTTAATTGCCTTAACAACGTGTAACTAATTGTATTACTATGAATGTGGTCACTATAAAGTTGAACTATGGACCTATTATGTTGCATGGTAGTTATATAATTATTATTTGTAATCTCAGATTGTTAGAAAAATGTCAAAGCAGTTTTATAGTCTTTCAGCATCTAAGACTCAAATAATGGGCTTACTACAAACCAGTGGCAGCTCGTGGGTTTTAAAATAGGAGGCGGCACACTAATTGTATTGGTCTGGGATCCCTGCCGATTATTATTATTATTATTTGCTTAACCACTTTAAAATTGCTTTTTGGTTGCTTTTAGTCATAAAACGTAAAGAAACGACACGCATACAACAAGATAATATAATATAATTTCACTTACCTGGCCTATCACTTGAAGCAAACATCCATCCCTTCTTAAAAGTCTGTGTTAAAAGAGAGCTTCCTGTTGTGCCATTTAATTAAGCCCCGACTGCTGTAGCCTGTGTCCAGTTAGGCATGTTTTCCCTTTTTTTAATTGGTATATATACTGTTTGAATGACAGCTTGGTAAATCTGTTGGCGATCAAATATTCAATATCGCTACTCATCATAAGTACTTGGTACATTATCAGCGCAGCGGGAGACGTTCAAACTAATAGCACATAATGTACATCTCTTTGATGATTGGTTGATATCAGAAGGGAGACTAGCCTCCCTTGCGAGGTTTCTTTTCTCAACACTCCTCAGCGCTGAAAGTAAACACTCGATGGTGATTGGCTAATTTATTTTACCAACGGAGGCACCTCCCCCGGCCTCCCCCTACCCTTCTCTATCACTTAGCGGTTGTAAATACATCAGCAGATTCGGCACTTTCCAACTTCATTAACATGTTATGGTATTAAAGCTGTGAAATTACGACAGTGCACCATGGAGCAGGAGTCAGATTTTATTTATCATGTGAGGAAAGTGAGTCGAGCTGACTGACAAGAGTGAGGTGAGAAAGACAAGACGATGGCAGAAGATTGTTTAGAAAGGAAATGCAAAGGTGCCTGTTTGGCAATATTTTAGATTTTGAAAAGCCTATTGACTGGAGCCTATATGCCGTGCCTCCAAGCTTTCTTATTCGTTTTGCTAATGAACATTCTATGATTCATTATTTATTTGGTTCCCCAGTGTTTGCTGATTTTCAGTTTTATATACCTATTTAAACTTTGTGTAGCCTAAGTAATTTGTTATTTTATTAGGCATATATGGTGTATTTTTATTCGATTTGTTAATAAAAGTTCTATGAGTTTGACGTTGTTGTTGCTTGAATTGAATCAACGCAAAGCTAATTTGAAAGTAAAATGCGCACGGCACTTTTTCAAGCTATTTGAAAGCCAAGAAATCAGATGAAAAGAGGGAAAACTCAAACAAACAATTGCTTAACGCCGAATTTGAAAGTGAAAGTAAAATGCGCACGGCACTTTTACAAGCCATTTGAAAGCAAAGAAAAGAGGGAAACTCAAATGAACTACACCCCCCTCCCCCCCCAACCCCCAACGGTGATAGCGGTGTTTCATGTAAACAACTGCAAACTAAAACCCAAATAACAAAGATTCATCTAA